GCTGTTGCAGCTGTTGCAGCTGTCGGTGTGCTTGCTGCAGCTCAGGAGCCATCCCAGAAATTGCCTTTCCTCAGTTTTGTGCCTGACCTCGGCGCTTTGCTGCTGCTGCCGTTGCCATGGAAAGGGGAGATGATGGTTCTGTGCCTGATGTTGCACAATTAAAGGTCACTGAGGCTCTCAGGGTCAAGAGATCATTGTCGGAATTCAGCTCCTCAGGGGGGTGAATGTTATTCCACAAAATTTGCTTCATGATTTGACATTATTGTTACTTTGTCATCCCAAATTAAAATCTGAGTTCAATTTAAAAGGCAGGGATATTTGCCAAACCTACAGATTCCTGGAGAAGGCTTTTCCTGGCATTCCAGCGCTGCAGAGCTGTGCAGGTTGTTGGCACTTGTCAGCTCAGGATGGTAAATGGCTGGGTAATTGCCTCTGACAATTCTGAAATGTGTGCAGAACACAATCACACTTACTGCTAAAAGCCTCTGCTGGGGGAGTTTGAGTCTCTGCAGGGAGTAACTCGCTCACCAGCTTTTTTTCTCTTGAAAACTTGATGTTTCTACAAGGACAGTTTGAGAAAAGAGGAATTGGAGCCTGGGCCATTTTTGACTGGCCATGTGTGGATCCCTGCTGCAGTGTTTGAATTCCTGCTGCAGTGTTTAGATCCCTGCTGCAGTGTGTGGGTTCCTGCTGCAGTGTTTAGATCCCTGCTGCAGTGGGTGCATTCCTGCTGCAGTGGGTGCATTCCTGCTGCAGTGGGTGCATTCCTGCTGCAGGACAGGCTCTGCTCAGCTGGAGTGCTCTCACATCTGCAGTGCCTGCCTGGGGTTTGTGCTGCATGGTCCTGTAGCAATTTCTATGGAAAAGAGGAAACAGCTCTGTTCCACTGGGGCTGCTCTGAGGTTCCAGGGATGCTCCAGGAGCAGCAGAGCACAGAGACACGCGATGGATTAATTTAATTTGGAGATGAAAGCACAAATGTGCAGCAGGGGCGTTCAGAGCAGAGCGCAGGCACCTCCAATAGAGGAGATTTCACTGGGGGCAGAGCCCAGGCACCTCCAATGGAGGAGATTGCTCATGGAACTCTTCTGCTGGGACAATGAGCTCTCATTGCACTGGATGACTTAATGGCAAAGTTCCATGGAAAATCAGCTCTTGCCTTAGGGATTGAGGAGCAGAGAATGCTTCTCAACAGCAGTGCAGGAGAGAATTAGAACCAAAAACATTGGAGAGAGGAACTGTAGGAAAAGAAGGGTAAAATCCCACTGCACGTTCATTTCCCTGGGGAAATCACAAACTCCTGCAATGCAGCTGGCAAGGACATCATGCTTTAATTCTTCATACTTGTTTTTAATAACTTGCACTAAAGACAAGGAGAAGGACATGTTTTGGTTCAGTACTTGATTTTGGGAATTTTTTTTCTCTTTTTCTTTTGTATTTTTAGAATCTGGAAGCAATGGAGGTGACAAGGGACTTGTTCTCTGGAAAGCCTTAGCAAGACAGGGATTCCTAAATCCCTGCTTAGGTGCTTAAATCAGAAATCAGTGCTGCAGCTCTTGGAATTGCCTTCTCAGTATTAAAATTCCCGAGGCAGCTCCATTTCTGGCCGTGGCCTTAATTTTGTCTGGCTTGATGGGGATTTGAGGTGAGACTTGAGTTTCAGTCCCTGCTCTACTGAATGTTTAATATGAATTCAGAAATATTAATAAAGCAAGGATTAGGTAGGACTCTCTCAGGGAATGCCTTGTGACTAATCTGTGGATTCACCTTCTCTCTCTGAGCCAGAGAAGATTTAATTATTCAATATGAGCGGGACAGGTTCAACAGGCAGGAATGAGCACCAGCAGGAGTCAAAATGCTTTTCTGCACGAATGGATAGTGCAGTCCCTTAGGCAAAGGAGCGATTTGAGCCCAGGCTCTGCATTCCGTGTCCCCCAAGGGCAGTTTGGGGTTTTTGGGAAGCTGTGAGAGCTGAGGCTGCTTTGGCCACATCTCCCTTCTTGTGAGGGTCTGTGGTGAGAGGGCAGGCTGTGAAACACTGAGGGTGACACAGGGGACAACTCCACCTCCCTCCCCACTCTGATAAAAATCCATCTGAATTTCGTTGCTGCTGCAGCATAGTTTGTTTTTTGTTTGTTTGTTTTTTCTGTAGCTACAATGCTTTCATTTAGCAGCCTCTTCCTGGGTTATAAATGACACCCACAAGAAAGCAATGATCTGAAGTGACTGTAAATGGCTCTTAGTCAGATCCACACCATTATTTTGAAAGTGCAAATAACATTTGGGAAATGGGAAATGGCCTCCGCAGTTATTCGTTTTTCTCTTTTTTTTTTTTTTCTTTAATTTGCTCTGGCTCTGCCTAGAAATCACCCAAGATTCGGTAAGCAGCTCTGTGTGTGCTGATTAAAGCGCGTTCCCGGTGCCATCAGCCTGGCTGTGTGTGCAGGCAGGACAGAGCACAGGAGAAAATCCAGAAAATCCACGGGTGTCCTTTTGGGATGGAAGTTCTGCCCAGATGAGGATGTCTGGCAGAGTCCAGAGCTTAATTTCATTAGGAGAGCCCCAGAAATGCTGTGATGTCCCCTCCATGCAGTGGGGCAGTAAATTCAGGAGGGCTGAGGGGTCTGAGCTGTGCTGAGCATCTCTCCAAAAAAAGAGGAGTTTTTCTCCTGGGGAGGGCAAGGAGCTCGTTCCTCTGCATCCCAGGTGGGCTCGGGGCTCTGCGCAGCCCTGAAGGTTGTTCTGTGCCCCGAAGGTTGTTCTGTGCCC